GTCAACGTATGACAAAGCTTCTTGTAGATTATCACAATCCTGGCGAGATGTTATTGCCGTATACAGCTTTGTGTCATCAGCATACAGCCCTGTTGAAGTTGTTGGAGGTATTACATCAGGGAGATCATTGATGAATGGAAGGAAAAGCATGGGGCCTAAGATACTCCCCTGTGGGACACCTGAGGTGACTGGAGACCATTCTGAAGCAACACCTTCGACAACAACACGCTGAGTACGTCCACGTAAATAGTCAGTGAACCAATTGTAAAGGTTGCCTGATATACCATAAGCCTTCAGTTTCTTCAATAGGATACCATGATCAACGGAATCGAAGGCATTAGCAAAATCTAGAAAAAGAACGTCTGTCTGGATATTTCTGTCTAGTAATTATCCAATATGATGTAGAGTGGACAGAAGTTGTGTCACGCATGATCGTCCATGGAGAAAACCGTGCTGTGCTTTATTGATTATTTCCCGAACATGATCGTAAAATCGATTGCAAACGCATCGCTCCAAGACTTTGCTAATAATGGATAACAGTGATATGGGTCGGTAGTTGGTAGCAGGTTCTTTCTTATCTTTCTTATGTACTGGTGTTACATTAGCGGATTTCCATTCAGAAGGTACAGTTCCAGAATGAAGAGAATGATTGAAAAGTGAGCAAAGGCTTGGAGCAATGACAGAACTACATTCCTTTAGAACCCGACCGGGAATGCCATCAGGCCCAGTGGCTTTAGATGGATCCAAGATTGATAGATGCTGCACAACATCTTCTTCTGAGATGGTTATATCTGACAATTGGGTAGAGGTCAGCGGCAAAGAGGTGGATACTTCAGGGTTCACGGTAGTTTTAGTTGGACGAAACACAGAGCAGAAATATGTATGGCAAAGTTCTGCTTTTTCTCTTGGAGACTTCGCTATATGGTTATTAAAAGTTATAACAGGATTTAGAGCGGAACGGAAATTAAGTATTGCTTTATGATATTTCCAGAATATTTTGGGTTTTTCTTTGAACGACGCTTCGATCTTCGCAAGATATATTTTATGTTTAGCTCTAATTGCATACTTGATCTGCTGACACAAAATACGCAACTTGAGTTTTCGTTCCGTTGTTTCGTTCTTTCTATAGTTCCATAAAGCAGTATATTTCTTACGTATCAGATGACGAACTTCGCCATCAATCCAGGGAGGAGAGTTGGTGTCCTTCACAATCTTAGTTGGAATAAAACTGGTGACGATGGTTAAAAAATTGTCCTTCCACAGCTCCCAACATTTGTCGATATCGTCTGTGAGAGGTATGTCTAAACATGCTTCAGTCAGAGCTCTACGTAGTGCAGGAAAATCAACTTGTCTGTAGTCATAAACCACACGTCGCACAGGTTTTGCTCTTGTGAACTTTGTACATATGCTGAATTCGATGATGTGATGATCGGTTGGGAAGTTGTGTTCGTTAGAGGGAGAAGTTAGTACATCTGATATTGTCTCAGCCCGATTACAAAACAACAGATCAAGCTTATTACCAGCACGGTGGGTTGGACCCTCTATAAATTGATGCAGAAAATTATCTCTTATAAGTTCAAAAAGGATCTCCCCATTCGCACATCCACCAGAATTAGTTGGAGTTGAACTATTATCTGACCATGAGATAGACGGAATATTAAAATCACCAACCAACACTGTGCAACTAGATTCCGGATTACCAAACAGTGAATCGTTTAAAAGATTAAGACCGTCAGAACAAGTACCAGGAGGATGATAGTATACGTAAAGAATGACCAGTTTATTGTTCGCTTTATTGAGTTGTACAACCAATAATTCAATACCATTTCTTTCGAGGTCACAACGCCGAGTAGCTTGTAAGCCTTATTTTACTGCAATTAACACACAGCCGCCGATCTTACCCATTCTATCTTGTCGAAAGATATTGAAGCCCGGAAGAAGTTCTGAGTCAAGGATAGTATTGTTTAACCACGTCTCGCAGATACAGACCACTTCGTAATGATCCCCATAAACCAATTCTTGAAGCAAAGTTATTTTGCAAACTTTGTTGGAAGAGTTGTTGTCAATAGAGACGAAAGACTTTATACTTCGAGCATTTAAATACAGGACTTTTAGATTGTTATTGTCAGTTCTACTAGGTGGAACAGGACCAGGGTTGGTGGTGATATCCATGTAAATGGTTATACCTATATCGGGATCAAAATCAGGAGGTGATAAACATAGATAACTGTGTTTGTTCCAAGTGGACTGATGACAGTGAAGGGGAGCAATAACACGTTTGTTGAACTTGCGGAATCAATTAACCAAAACAGGCAGCAAAGTGAAACAACTGATATCGATCGATCGTGCATTGATTACATCACAAAACCCAGAATCTGTATTCACGCAGTTATGGCAGCACAGATCAGGTCTAGAGGATATCCAAATGATGGCCAAATTCACCAGCCAAAAAGCGATCTTGTTCGAAGGACATCCAGTAGATTTACGATACTTTAGATCCATTTTACAGGTAGGATGAAAAGATGCACACGCAAAATGTTTGAAAAATCCGTGAAAACTTTAGTTGCGCGAATTTCGTGAGCAAGAACCGTTGAGGATGCAAATTATGTCAGCACACAATAATACAAATGCGTGTGCTTGCGCAATGTCAACGATCTCCCTTGACTTTTTAATTAAACCAATATACGAAAACCAACTTTAAATCTGACACAATTATGAACAAGCCAAACAATGTATCCGTAAAAAAACTTACAGATTTTGAAGTAGCACACCTTTATCCACGATTATAAATCAGAAATGCACTTCTAGTTCGACGTTTTCGTAATTTAATTTGCAATTTTTGCGGAGCACTTTTTTGTGCGCGTGCGCCAAGCGCGATCACATATCATGACAAATTAACAATCTATCAGTTAATACTAGAGATGAACAGGTTTTTCACAACGCTTATCGCAGTCGAAAGAGAGAGTGGACAATGTATCTACAATTTGTGAACCAGATGATGAGAAATTAGATAGTCATAACATCTCAATCAATGCAGGTAGCAACTTTCTCACTAGCCTTAATTCGGTTCCCAGCACCAGAGGATTTAAGATGGCTTTCTTAAATATTGTCAGCCTGCCTAAAAATCTAGATGAAATAAGATATTCAATGTCCAGCAAGCATATAGATCTCATTGCCTTCAGTGAGACACGGCTTGATTCCAATTTAAATAATAATATGATTCATATTAATAATTATGACATTATTCGAAAGGATAGGTCAAGAAGTGGTGGTGGAGTCTGTATCTATTTACGTAACTCTATCAACTATAAAATAAGGCATGATCTGATCCAACAGAACTTGAATGTGTTTGTATTGAAATTATGAAACCACATAGCAAACCCTTCCTTGTTACTACAGTATATAGACCACCAAATGCACCCTCTGAGTTTTTCAAAAGCTTGGAAAAACTTATCAAAGCTATCGATGATGAAAATAAAGAGATGTATATTCTTGGAGATCTTAATTGTGACCTTTTAAAAACAAATAATAATTTGAATTTGCGTTATACCAATTATCGCAACTGATCAAACAGGCTACTCAAATAACTATGACAACTAGTAGCCTAATTGATCACATTGTTACAAATACACCAGAGAAAATATCTGATTCTGGTGTCATCCACACAGGCATTAGTGATCACAGCCTAAGGGAAAGTAACATTTATTATGCCGAGGGAGGGGATGAAGATGTTAAGGGGGGGCTCCGAAATATTTTCTGGCATTAAAGGGGGGGCTCTGAAAGTTCTTGATATACTGAAGGGGGGGGGGCTCTAAACTTTTCAAAGGTTTGACCCCAGCAAATTAAAGTTAAAATTTTTACATTTTCAGGTAAAATTTGCATAATAAAGTAATTATTTTTGTGAAATGATAACCATTTTTGTAAAATACAGTCAATTTACATGCAATTTGTTTGCAAAATTTGCTTTAGAAAACACCAGAAATTCAGTCCTAGAGCTTCAAAAATGTAAAAATTTTCTGGGGGAGGACCCCCAGACCCCCCTTTTCTCCCAAAACTTAGTATGAGAGTGCCAATCAATCACAAAAAGCTTTATTATAATTATTACACGTATAATCCTCTGACATCCCCCACCCCCCAAACGTCAGATGCTTTGCTACGTCCCTGATGGTTGTATTCGAAACCGATTTCAGTTTTAAGATATCCTTAGTCTGCTCTTCTAAATGGATACATGAAATCACCTATAGCTTATTTTAAATTTTTTGGGGCCAGGTTTGTGAAGTAATTTACGCGCCAAAAAGTAGCAGTTCCAAAAACAAAAAAGCATATACGATTTGCAAGAATGATATGTTCTATGTTTATGGGATATTTCGTACAAACGGGATGGAAATTGAAGCATACTGGCACTTTTGCAAGCATTTTTGACAGGCATGCAAAGACATTTGCAACAGATGCCGGGCGATACGTTGGGTGGGGGCGACATACTGTAAGGTTCCAGCACATTACCCTGATCCAGGAAATCCTGGCCACTACATGAACGTGTTCTAGACTCCAAATACGCTGAATGATGGACAGCAACAACCTGTTGATAATTTCACCCCTAGAGCCAATTTAAAATGTTTTAACGATGGTGCCATTTCATCTGGCGCTAGTGAGGTGAAAGAAGCAGCAGATCGGTAGTTTTGTTGAGGAGAAGCACATGCTTGAGTATATCAGACATCTTGAGGAACTGCAAATTGTATATATGATAAGAGAGAATTCCAGATTCTACTGCTTTGATTCCGAATTCTACAGGGGGGGCATTGGAAATTTTAAAAACTTGGAGCGGGGCATCGAAATTTACTGATAACCTCAACAGGGGGGGCCCTGTAAAAATATGAGCTTTTTTCAAGACATCTTCATCCCCCTCCCTCGGTGTAATAAATGTACTTTCCCTAATATTTGCCATCAGAAAAATTTCAATTATAAAAAAAAAACAAGAAAATACTATCGAGATTAGAAATATGAAAAATTTTGATGATCAAAAATTTGTTAATGAACTACAGAGTCAGCATTGGGAATTTATATACTTCTTTGCTGCAGACCCAAATTCCATGTGGGAAATGTGGAAAGAAATGTTCTTGGAAGTTCTTGATAAACATGCACCAATTCAAAACAAAAAGATTAGATCAAAAAAACTTCCTTGGATAACGAGTAAAATAAAAAAACTAATCATTACAAGGGACAAATTCAAAAGAAAAGCCATCTTAACAAATTTAAAAACAGATTGTTTCTTGTTTGTTTGTAATTGTACCAAAGTGAATATAGAACTAAGAAATGCTAAAAAAGATTATTACACCTTGAAAATTGCTGGGAAAAAACACAATCCAAAACAACTTTGGAAAACTATAAACAATTTACTAGGTAAGCAAAACAAACAAACAGTTGTTAACGAATTAGATATAGAAGGAGAGATTTTAACAAATCCTCAAGACATTGCAGAGGGTTTCAATGACTATTTTTGTATCTGCGAAGCAGATATATATGCTATCGCAAACGTGATCGTACCGTATGTTAACAGATAGCCATTCAGCGACGAGCTTATATATTTTAAACTATTTTATGCCAATTTAAGCCAATCAGCGATTCGTTTATATCAATTGTTTACATCATGCCCGCTGATCTAACCTGCGAACGGGCATACTTTAGCCTCGTCAGGCCTCGTGTATAAATCGTGTTTTATATTCTTTCAAAAATATCTTGATTTTGTCTTGTTTGCACTATTATTCCGAAGTTATCTATCGACATGGAAACTTATCCTCATCTGGTAAGTAGTCAAATACCACATATTTATTATTTTATTATGTATTTATACAGTAAAACAATCATTGTGTTGTTTAAGTACTATTTACAACATGAGCGGCCGTGTTGTATCGGATATACAAACTCGATCCGAAAAATGGCTTAAAAAACCTTATGTAAATCAACATGAATCTGTATACATTATACAGATACGACACACTTATGATTTTTTTTTGTGTTTTCTTCATGAATTATTAATGCGTTTTTAAGATTTTAAACAGTCAAAACTCAAAACATAGCAGGCAATATATTTGTCAATGACAATGAACAATGTCACAAGAAACTAATGTTCTCCGGAGATCAGTATTGAATTAAATCCTGGTCCTGTATTTCTGTATTAAACTCTGTTCGATGTTACCAGTTAAAATACTTATACATTTTGGTTTTACACATTAGAGTTTATAATAATTATTAATTAAATTAAAAAAAATTTTTACAAACATTTTCAAATGCTAATAAAAGAATCCCCACTCTATTTTGCTTTCTAACATAAATGTTTTTGTTTAGAGATTAATGCAAGAATGATGAATAAATGCAGGGTTCGAAATAACGGTTCGTGAATCACGAATCAATTTTCATTTTTCACGAACCCAATTTCAAAGAAATTGATCAAAATCACGAATCAAAAGTCTCTCAAATTGATAAAAATATACAATAATAAATTTAGTTCTTTGTAAATGTGATGAAGGATCATATATTTTGAAGATATTGTTGTTAGATTGTACTTAAAAACGATTATAATTCCACCCAAAATTCTATTTCTTTGCGAGTTTGCGATGTATATTATATATTTGAAAATTGCAGTGCCTCCACTTGTAACTTCCAATTAGAGAAAATTCCTTGAAAATTCCTTAACATATCCTTAAAATAAAAAAATTAATTCACGAACCATTTTTTCAGAATTAATTCGAACCCTGAAATGTACTGGATATGGGCTAGATAATTTTGTCAGAACAACCCACTTGCAAGACAATATTACCTAAATTCATTAGTATGGATAATAACTTAACAGCTATAATAATCATATATTATATGGATGGATCAGATCAATGGCACACAATATGTACAAAAGTCAAAACTAAACTGGTGATACGTATACCTTCTACTCAAACTGATATTCTCCCACAACACAAATGGTTTTTGTGTGGATATGATGTGTTAAACCGAACAGTGTGGTATATCATTAACTGTGCACAGGATTGGAATTGAATTATATACTTCACTCATGACCTTCAAAACATTCTCTATACTATTCAGTGGTGTTTGATATATAATTGACTCTTTGCTACAGTGATGCATGTTCCTCGAATAGTTTGTGTATGTTACTCAACAGTTAATGTTGGCAAGTGTAAACAACAAGTGACAGAACTTCTGCTTCATATGATTACAATAAAGTTTTGAAAATGGGTATGGATTCACAAGTGACAGTTTACTAAATAGACACTTTGAATATTGTTTGCATGAGATTTTTATTTTTTGACCGCATAATTATCCGAGTTACAATGGGTCGTTCCAGAAAAAACCTGTACTCCCCCCACAGAGGAAATTTCTGCCATCCGGAGGGGGAGGGGTGAAAAAATTGTTTATGATAATAGTAAATGTATTAGGACATGCGAAGGGAGTAGGGGGGGTTAACTTCCTATTTCCTCTGTGGGGGTGGTATGGATGTTTTCTGGAATGACCCAATCGCAATCACATAAAATTAGTTAAATTTAATCCGCAGGGGTTGGGGGAGTTGCCCCTGCTGCCCTCCGTGCTGTCACAGAATAAGAAGGTACTGCAGAAGTGTAACTCAAGTCGGTTCCATTATTGTTTTACGTTCACAAAAATTTTAACTCGCTCGCACCATCCTGGCTAGTACAACCGGAAGTTTTTGTCAGGTTTTGGTAGATGCCAAGTGTCGGTTGTACTAGCCAGGATGGTGTGATTGATGACGAATCACTTGAAAAAATGCGGACAAATACTTGCTTGAGTTACACTTCTGCTGTACCTTCTTATTCTGTGGTGCTGTCTACAGCCTTGTTAGATTTGTACTATGTTTGACTTTAAAATCTTATTTGCTATTATATTTATTATAATAAGTGATGAAAATGTGAATCAACTTTTTCGCAGATACATGTACGCGTAGCGTACCTATTTTTCAAATATCGGTCCAAATTTTAGCCAGCTAAATTGGCACATCAAATTATGATTTTGAAAAATACATTAAGAAAACTAAATCAGAGTTTGCTGCATTTCAACCTACTACCATTAGTAATGTCTGCCATCTTCTAAGTGGGCTTTCTAGCAATAAAGCAACTGGCACTGATAAAATTTCAAGTAAAATTATAAAGACAGCTGCACCTGTCATTTCAGATTCACTAACTTATATTTTTAGTCGTTACTCAGTCCTGTTTTCCAGATGAATGGAAAATGGCTAGAGTTACACCTATCTTTAAAAATGGTCAACGTAATCTACCAGAAAACTACAGACCAATTTCAGTTCTACCTGTCATTAGTAAAATTATGGAAAGAATTCTATATGATCAACTCTATAATTACTTAACAAAATTTGGAATTCTTAGTGACTGTCAATTTGGTTTTGGAAAATCTCATTCCACTACTACAGCATTATTGGACTGTACCAACGAGTGGTATGTTAACTTGGACAGGAAACTATTTAACCTGGTAGTTTTGATTGATTTAAAAAAAGAATTCGACACTGTCGATCATCAAATTCTATTGAGAAAATTGGAGCTCTGTGGAATAAAAGGACAAGCTTTCACTTTACTCAAATCTTATCTAACAAATCGAAACCAAATATGCCAGGTTAAAAATGTTATTTCATCAGATAGAACAATTAGATGTGGGGTACCTCAAGGCTCTATTCTAGGACCACTCTTCTTTTTGTTATATATTAACAATTTGTTATATATTAACGATTTACTTTTGTTATATATTAATTCTGATTTAGAAGACCTTAGGAAGTGGTTGATAGCCAATAAACTTAGCTTGAACGTAGCTAAGACAGAATTTATATTGATTGGCTCAAAACCAATGATTAAAGGTACTACAGATTTTCATTTAAACATTAAAATTGACAACAAACCCATTAAACAGATTCAAGAGTGTAAAAGCCTAAGAGTAATAATTGACCAGTATTTATCTTGGAATAGTAACACTGAAAATATTTGCAAAAAAGTACCGGAATCTCTGCTCTTCGCCGTTTAAAAGATTTTGCTGACAGAGAAACACTTCTCTCTGTATACAATGCACTTATATACCCATATTTCAAATACTGCTGTGAAGTATGGGATGTATTTGGTGAAACACAATAAAAAAGATTGCAAAAACGTCAGAATGGAGCTGCTAGAATCATCACAAATCTTGGCAATGATGTTGATCATTCTATTGCCTTAGGTGAGCTAAGCTGGGAACCTCTTAAAGCTGATAGGAAAAAAACAAAGGCGAAAATGATGTATAAACTTTTAAATAATATGGGTCCAAATTCACTTACTAATCTGTTTTCGTATAAAAGTGAATTAACAAACCTCCGTGATATTTCAAGTGGCCTTCACTTACCAAAACCACGTACAAAGAATATGAAAAAAAGTTTTATGTACGATGGTGCATTCCTTTGGAATTCACTTCCAAGAGAAATTAGGGGAAGTACATCCCTTAATTTGTTTAAAAAGAAAATTGCTACCTGCATTGACATTTAAAAAGCGCAATAAAGTACGTGCATGTATATAGAGGATTTCCTGTAAATAGCCTAACTACCTTCTTAATTTAGCTCATTGTAAATAAGTAGATTGTGTTCTTGTTAAACGTACTTTTATATAGTTACGTAAAGATATTTTGCACACGTCCTCCGTGGAAATCAGCTTAAGTTGACGGGGTCAACGTGTTTAAATAAAGTTTTTCTATCTATCTATCTATCTATATGAAACAATCGGCCTACTACCGAAGACATCCCTCATCCTCTCCGATGTCTCTAGAATAGGTCAATGTGCTTCCACAATCCCATTAATTTCCTTTAATGCCGGATGAAATCCTACTACCAGTGGTACTCTATTACCCAAGTTAGAATTCTTCCTCTTATCCGTTTGGCGTAACATTTCAGCCCTATCCTTAACTTTAACCTCAGAAAACTGGTCCTTAACCAACTCATTGTTAAATCCTCGCTATATAAAACGACCTTCCATTTCTTTAAGCCTAACCTGAAAAACTTTTTCCGAACTACAAATCCGTTTTAATCTTAGCGCCTGACCATAGGGGATTGCCTTCTTCACATGTGCGGGATGACCAGACTTGAAGTCTAGGTATTGATGTGTATCAGTCTGTTTTGAATACACATCCGTTTGCAATTTACCAGACTCCAACTCCACCCGCACATCCAAATAAGACAGCCCCCTTTCCGAATATTCCCATGTATATTTAATTGTTTCATGATAATTGTTAATATAATTAAAAATTCCAACAGGGATTCTTTACCATGAAGCCAAATAAAAAATATATCATCCAAAAATCTGAACCATACTGAAGGACTGACGTGATACCCCGCCAACATTTTATTTTCCAGTTCTGCCATAAAAATATTTGCAAACGCTGGAGCAAATTTTGTGCAAATGGCTGTCCCTAACTTTTGTTTATACACTTTTTCA